TCAGCTGCACTCCCATCAGCTGCACTCCCATCAGCTGCACTCCCATCAGCTGCACTCCCATCAGCTGCACTCCCATCAGCTGCACTCCCATCAGCTGCACTCCCATCAGCTGCACTCCCATCAGCTGCACTCCCATCAGCTGCACTCCCATCAGCTGCACTCCCATCAGCTGCACTCCCATCAGCTGCACTCCCATCAGCTGCACTCCCATCAGCTGCACTCCCATCAGCTGCACTCCCATCAGCTGCACTCCCATCAGCTGCACTCCCATCAGCTGCACTCCCATCAGCTGCACTCCCATCAGCTGCACTCCCATCAGCTGCACTCCCATCAGCTGCACTCCCATCAGCTGCACTCCCATCAGCTGCACTCCCATCAGCTGCACTCCCATCAGCTGCACTCCCATCAGCTGCACTCCCATCAGCTGCACTCCCATCAGCTGCACTCCCATCAGCTGCACTCCCATCAGCTGCACTCCCACCAGCTGCACTCCCATTAGCTGCACTCCCATTAGCTGCACTCCCGTCAGCTGCACTCCCATCAGCTGCACTCCCATCAGCTGCACTCCTATCAGCTGCACTCCCATGCTGCAAGGCTCTGCCTAATTCCACAGCTCTTCTCAAGATTCCGTTTTTATATAATAAGATATTTAAGTTTCCGATGAAAAAGTTTTACCAATTATAAATATAATATAATTGATTCTAATTAAATATTAAGTAGCCATGGCAGATGCACGATGCGTACACGCAGGCGTGCCAGCGCAACGATAAACTGCAATTTTGATCTCACCGATCACCAGTGCCGAGATAATTAGAAGCTTGGTTTTAATAGACTAGAAATCGTTCGTTATGAACAATCTGCAACATTAAAAGTCAGTCTGCAACGTTAAAAGTCACAGTCTGCAACGTTACAAGTCAGTCTGCGACGTTAAAAGTCACAGTCTGCAACGTTACAAGTCACAGTCTGCAACGTTAAAAGTCACAGTCTGCAACGTTACAAGTCACAGTCTGCAACGTTAAAAGTCACAGTCTGCAACGTTACAAGTCACAGTCTGCAACGTTAAAAGTCACAGTCTGCAACGTTAAAAGTCACAGTCTGCAACGTTAAAAGTCACAGTCTGCAACGTTAAAAGTCACAGTCTGCAACGTTAAAAGTCACAGTCTGCAACGTTAAAAGTCACAGTCTGCAACGTTAAAAGTCACAGTCTGCAACGTTAAAAGTCACAGTCTGCAACGTTAAAAGTCACAGTCTGCAACGTTAAAAGTCACAGTCTGCAACGTTAAAAGTCACAGTCTGCAACGTTAAAAGTCACAGTCTGCAACGTTAAAAGTCACAGTCTGCAACGTTAAAAGTCACAGTCTGCAACGTTAAAAGTCACAGTCTGCAACGTTAAAAGTCACAGTCTGCAACGTTAAAAGTCACAGTCTGCAACGTTAAAAGTCACAGTCTGCAACGTTAAAAGTCACAGTCTGCAACGTTAAAAGTCACAGTCTGCAACGTTAAAAGTCACAGTCTGCAACGTTAAAAGTCACAGTCTGCAACGTTAAAAGTCACAGTCTGCAACGTTAAAAGTCACAGTCTGCAACGTTAAAAGTCACAGTCTGCAACGTTAAAAGTCACAGTCTGCAACGTTAAAAGTCACAGTCTGCAACGTTAAAAGTCACAGTCTGCCACGTTAAAAGTCACAGTCTGCCACGTTGAGAGTCACAGTCTGCAACGTTAAAAGTCACAGTCTGCAACGTTAAAAGTCACAGTCTGCAACGTTAAAAGTCATAGTCTGCAACGTTAAAAATCGGCACAGAACATAATTCCTTTAGCCACTGAGTAAATTTCAGAATTAGAGAAAAGCTTGACAACTTATTTATACTCACTATATTCACTCCCTTATATTCACTATATTCACTCCCTTATATTCACTATATATATTCACTCCCTGTTTCATTCGTCATGACCTTGAGCTGATCTGCGTTTTGGTAATTCAGAGATTATTTCAAAGTCGTTAGAACAGAATAAATTGTCTGATAATTATCAAATTAATTTAATTTTTGCAGTTCTCTTTTCCACAGTAGATTGATTATATATCAGTTTGTTACTGATTTTTGCTTCAAGATCTTATCTAAAAAGAATGGATAAATTTAATTTAATTCATGGATTTTTTTATTTATGGAATAAGAGAAGAAATATACCGTATAGCAGGGGAAGGAAGAAGGGAGATGTATGGAAGAGTATGTATGGAAGAGTATGTATGGAAGAGTATGTATGGAAGAGCATGTATGGAAGAGTGTGTATGGAAGAGTATGTATGGAAGAGTATGTATGGAAGAGTATGTATGGAAGAGTATGTATGGAAGAG